CTATATATATATATATATATATATATATATATATATATATCAAAACATATTTTGTCAACGAAAAATGATCTTATTCAGTAATCAAAGTTTTAAAATTATTTTTATTTTTTGGGACATGTTTACATCTAATAATATCAAAATGTAACTCATTAACCAGCCAATCAATTTATATAATTTATATTATTTGATGGACACATGTGCAATATATGTGTCTGAAAATTTATTACACTTTATAAGTATTTATGATTATAACTAGTTCATTGATTTTGACTTTATAAAGATTTTTATTTTGAAAATGACCAATAATTTTATATAATTTATAATTACAAAATTTTACATTTAGAGCTCAAATATAATTTAAAAGTTTGTACATTGCCATTTGACACTTCATGATATTTACTTTAGAATAAGTTGCATGCATCACATCTTAATGTTTCGTGTACCTGACTGTTCCTTTTTACGTTATTCAAAGGTTGCTTAGAATCGAAGGGTCTCCGAGTAGAAGGGAAAATTTATGGCAAAACTGACTTTGGATATTTGGTGTATTTCAAAGTGGGATCTGATGTATGCAATGGAGTAATCTACCGACCAAAAGAACAAGCCCCGTCTCGCAACGCGATAGGAAAACAACCTCTACCTCCTAAGGTAGGGGTAAAGGTTTGCGTTACACAAACCCTACTTATGAGATTACACTGTGTTTATGTTGTTGTAGTATTGAACGAGTTCGATATTGATTGTTTTAGTGTATACATACAGGTCTACAAAAAGTATGCAAAGAAAGACAAGGAAAGGCACTAGAAGGAATGGAAGGAGCAGAGATATAGTTCATTTTGCATTGTAATGCAGTTCCAAACATTGTTATAGCTTATGTAAGATAGTCGAAAACTATTTCTAGAAGTGTTGTTTCTCAAACTATTGTTTTCGTAGATCGATTCTCATCCTTATAAGATGGTCTGTGTTATAAATACATCGTATTGTGGATGTTCATTACACAGTTTCCTGGATAATCACCTCGATGTATTGTTGGGAACCTATCTTTATTCAACTCGTAGGTGAGGGTGTAGCTAGTCTATGACAACAACATTACCCAGTGTAATCCCACGAGTGGGATCTGGGGGAAAAATAGAACTCCAATGCCACAAACAACACAACGATTTCAACAAGTTCTAGGAAGGAGGGGGTGAGGTCTGCATTTCAACTACCTTCTTCCATGACTCTCGGTTGGATATCTCACCCCACCACCTCCCCACGTTCTCTCGAGAAGTGATGAGCTCTGCTCTGTCTGTCCCGTTCACCAAGTATTGGATGTTTGGAAGGTGAGAGAGATCGGCCAATGTGAATTCATCTCCAGCCAAGTACTGACTATCTCCGAGCCTCTTTTCATACACATCAAGTACTTTTTTGAGCTTCTCTTCGTTCTGTCTGATCAAGTTCTCGTCTTGTTTGAGCTTCATTCGCGGTGCAAAAGCCAGCTGGAATACAAGAACTGAACTTGGTGGATTGAAGCTTTGTCCTTCTGCCTCTATCCATTGATCTATAGACGCTTTCTCTAACGGATTCGTTCCATATAATCCCTTGTTACCTTGACTTCCATATTTGTCACATATGTACCTATTTATAGATCTGGATTCTGGATTTACCAAAAGTACAACAATGTAAACCCAAATTTTAGTTAGTATAAGCATTACGAAACAGTGTAAGACGCAAATTCCATATTAGTATGAGCATCATGAACACATACTAAACGTATAAGCATCATCAACAAGAACACCGCATAATAAATAACAGCATAGGGTCCAAATTCCACACTAGTATCATGTATATAAACTATATGTTAACGACTCCCCTTATTTTCTAGGTGTCACTGATTAGTTTAGGCATCATCAACAACGTCATATCATAAGTTACAGTGTGAGCCTCAAATTCCATACTAATATGACCATCATTAACAACAATGTACAACCCAAATTGCATACTAGTATAAGCATCATGAACAATACCTTAAGACCCAATTTACATACTAGTTATCTGGAAGGATAGGATTTACGCAGACCTTACCTTACCTTACCTTCGTGAAGTTGTTTTCAGAGGAAATGTAATCAAAACAGAATTGAAAGGAAAATAACAAGAGCAAAATGACAAGAGAAACAAAGCAAACGTAGCAACAAGTATTACCAAGAGTTGAAGAAGGAGATACTATGCAAATACTGAAAATTACTACCAGATACAAAGAAGAGGAGACTAGACCCCTACCTCTCCCACATAAAAGTACGACAACACTCGGCTTACCTACTACCTTAATCCTCCAAACCTTCCTTGGCCATGCCTTCAGTAAGCCATATTGCGTTAAGAAAAAACAAGATCCCAAATCATACACTACTATAAAGTATAAACATCATCTATTCTTAGCAAATGCAGTTTAAAGATCCAACCTTTACACTGGCCCATTACTTCCAGAGCTATCTCCTGCAAGATTCAGGGAGGGGGGGGGGGGATTTCAGATAATGGGCAAGATGAGACTAGGCCTCTGCCTCTCCCAACGAAAAATACGACAACACTCAACTACCTTCAAAATTACATTAAACAACAAGATCCCAAATTGTGCACTACTATAAACGTCAGCTATTTTAGGCAAATGCAGTTTAAAAGTCCAATCTTTACACTGGCCCATTACTTCCAGAGCTATCTGCTGCAAGATTAACAGGGGGAGGGCTCTGCCTCTCCCACCGAAAAATACGACAACACTCCACCACCTTCAAACCTTCCTATCTAGTGTCATGTCATCAGTAAGCTAAACTAAAATTACATTAAACAACAAGATCCCAAATTGTGCACTCCTATAAACATCAGTTATTCTTGGCAAATGCAGTATAACACTACTATAAAAACCAGCTACTCTTGGCAAATGCAGTATAAAAATCAAATCTTTACACTGACCCAATACTTCTAGGGCTATCTACTACAAGATTAAGAAGATTAAAAGTTTAATTACCAAACAAAGTGATATCCTCATCTTGATAAGCTGGAACTTGACCAAAAGGCTGAAAAAAAAAAGAGAAACAGTAAGAACAGAGAAATCAGTAAAAAGAAACAAGCCCCTTTTTTCTAAATTTGGGGTAAGAGTCAATCAACTGAGCTACGAAGATTCCGAAAAGAAAAAAAAACTTGCCTGAATTTTGAGATAGGCAGGTTTTTTGTGTTCCCCTTTTGCCATATTAACAGGGATGAGGTGAAATTGAACATTTTTTTCAAGAAGACAAGCTAAAACTCTTGACACTGCTGTTGATAAAGTTGGTCCGTACACTTTCACCGGAGTAGCCATCGGAAAATCAAGAAACTAAACTAGTGTTATTTCGAATTTATATTTGTTTTTTTATAATCTTTTGTTGAGCATATTACACATTATCCTTTTCTTCATCAATTGGTTAAAGGTGGGTCCACTAATTTTAATTATTCTAATTTATTTTATTTTTTTAAAAAAAGTTTTATTAGTGGATAGGTTTGGTAGACAAAATCATTAAAATGATTTAAATATTCAACTAACTTTTTTAATGTTTAATTTTTGGGATAAGAGTCTGAAAAATATCTCTATTTTGATCGAATTTTGTTGTTGTGATACGAAATTTTCATGAAGAAGTATTACTTTCCTAGGCTATTTAATACCGTATTTTAAACATAGATATTTGCTCACGTAAACATAAAAAATAATGTAAAATTATAAATAGTAATGTGTCCACGTGACCATATATATACCTTTAAAATCCACTGTTAAATAATTCATAGAGGTAATAGATCCTCATAAAATTTCAATATCGCAACAACAAATTCGATCAAAGTTGAGGTATTTTTCAGACCCTTATCCCTTAATTATCTCTGTATCATTTCAATTTTATCGATGTCTCTGAAGAGAGATTATTCAACTAAGTTTATTGTGACATATATTGATTTTAGTAAAAAAGAAAAGAAAAACTCTCAATATTTCAATGATAATCTGTTTTCATCAATATTGTTCTGATGGAAAAAAAATCATATTTTATAACAAAAAGTTCTGATGAGAGAAAAACTCTGTTTCTAGTAGTGGCGTATTTTGGTAAAGAAAGAGAATTTACTTTTAAATGAACTTAATGTGTGAATTTGAATCGAGGATCGAGACAATAAGTAAACTTAACGTGTTGATTTGAATCGAGGATCGAGACAATAAGCTTGAAATATCATTAGAAAAGAACTTATGTGACATTTGTTAAGAGTTTCACTATAGTATTGAGTCCTTTCTTTATATTGGGCTTACACAATTTTTTTCATATGACAAAATTTGTGTGTAATTAGTTAAGTTGAAGATCCATTAAGAAGGTTAAACATTGTTACAATGAACATTTGGCCTAAAACATCTTATTACAATAGTTTTGTAACATCTAATTAGTAATTAGTAATCACAATCTATGTATGGACCTTGTGACATCTAATAACAATGAACAAAAAACCACCTCAACCATCTTGTATGATCTTTAGTGATCGTCTTTTCAATCAATTTTAAGCACACGTCGTCCAGTTAGAAGGAGCTCTTGTTAACGATAATGGTGGGAGGTTATGAATGTTGATATCGAGAGGTAGCATACGATACTGGATATCGAGTTCCCTGAATGTTTTCACCATTTCTTCGATAAGAAGAGCTCTTCTCGCCCATCTCTCTCCCATGTCTTGGTGATTCATCGTGTGTGAGAGCCACACGGACCATTTTATCCCGTTCATGTTTTCCACGTCTCTCATTACAATCATTGGAGCCGGATACCAATGATCACTCCTGTTTTCGATATACCTGCCCAGTACAAAAGAGATGACCATAACTAATCGAAAAAAGGATGGAAGAATATCAAGAACTTATCATGATTTAAGCTAAGAGGCAAGTCAAAAGTACTCTTCCTTCGCGCATTTTGACATTAAAGACGAACCACTCTATAACTACGTTGTTTGTTCCGATATGAAAATCAGTTCCAAAAGAAAATTTGGACGTTATAGAAAATGTTTGTTATAGAGAATGACTGTTATAGAACGGATCACTTTTCCCATATATCCAGTAATAAGAATGAATATGAGCACTTTTTCTGGAAAATGAACATACATATCGTAGATATACCTTGTTATTTTTTCTTTCATCATAGCAATCTTTTCCATAGGAGTTGAGATATGAATGGAGAAATCGACTGAATCTCCCATGTCTGGACTGCGGTAGTAATTACTGATAGGTTTCGTCGATAGGACACTATTTGGATATATGATCTTTTGGTTATCATATCTTAGGAAAACTGTAGTCAGTATATTCATCTCTTCAACTACCATCTGAAACACAATGATCAAATAAATGCTTTAGTATACGAGTTCAAACACAATGAAACATACGCTTTGAAACAGAAGAATTTCTTGCCTGAACTCCATCGACTTCAACACGATCGCCTACATCAAACGGGTGCATTACAAATAAAAAGATGATTGCCTCAAATGTCGTCTTGGCTGAGTTTCCGAAGATGAATACTACTAGAAGAATCTGGGAACTCAAAAAGACTAAGAAATGCATAGTAGCGACTCTGAGTATAAGGAGCCAGATGACCAATATGATTATCGCCACAAGGACATTTAACATTTGATGAAGCTTGTTTACAGCAGTCTTAGTGTCATTTAACGACAGAGCAAGCGCCCTTCGCTCTCTAAATGCGTTAACCTGGAAGAAAAATACAAAGTAGAACGTTCAAATTCCGTCATATTAGTGCTAAAATTATGCTCAGACTCTCCAAATATTGTCGACAGATGCGTGTCAGATTCTCCAAAAGTAA